TTAGTTTCTCGGAGCATTACTATAAAAAGAAAAATTTTCTTTCGTTTTATATTAATGCTCTACTTTCATAACATCCATAGAAACCGTTCATTTAATTTAACCATAATGTTTCTAATTGTGAGAAATGTACCAGGTATATAACCCATCAACTCTACATTGTACGATCATATCAATAATTACGTTGTCAATGACGCTTGGATAGATGCTGAATGTTATAAAATAACTAACTGACTATTCTTCTGACTAGAAAAAATATATAAAAAAACTGTGCGGAATTAGTAGGGATATTAATTACATTCTCCATAAAGAAATGAAAAATATATAAATTATTGATCACAGCTACTTCACGGTACCCAAGTATATTATGCATAATGTAACCGGTTTATTATATGTGTACTCGTTCATCGAGATCGTTGACTTTGGTGTCTCCAAGCGATTACCTCATCGGCGCCACCGCCACCATCCCGCGAAAATTGAAATATATTTCAGAAGAAATGTATTGCATATATTTGTTTATTTACATATATTCATAACCTAAATAAAACATAAACAATTATATATTAATTAACTCTAGCGCTTGAGAAATAGTTCAAAAACAGTCGGTGGTCCCCGCAGCTAGCTCAGGGGAATGAAGGATTCCTACATGTGCTTTAGACATAAAGGAAGAAATTAGGTATTAAAAACTCGTAAATACCCATTTGCTTTCAACTGTAATGTTAAGATAACTTGAGTACAAAGGCCAGAAAAAAGGTGGCCTTCAAAAATATTGAGCCGCTTGGCGTGACCTACACCCCCAAATGGTCAAAATAACGAGGTTATATAGGCCACACGGCTAAATATTTTTGAAGGCCACCTTTTTTCTCGACTTTGTGCTCAAGTTATCTCACGATTAAATTGGAAAGGAAATGGGTATTTACGAGTTTTTAGAACCTAATTAAATAGACAAAGTTTGCCGACGTTCAGATTGAAAACGCCCCAACGCCAAGAATTTTCGTAAATAAAATGTTTGTGGGTTACTATTTGATGAAGCTATTTACGAAGTATCCGCTGGATGTTAATAATTTTGATAAAAGGAAGTCTGTACCACGGACTATATGTATGTAGCTGTTTTTTCAGCTTATAAAAAAAAAAATCAATGTTATCAATGTTTATTTATAAGGTTAAACAATTTTTAAATTTATTATTCGACATATTAGCTCGCTCAGTAACCTCCAAATTTCAAGGTATATATATATATATATATATATATATATATATATATATATATATATATATATATATATATATATGTATATATAGTCCATGGTACAGACCCCTTTTAATCGAATTATTAACATCCGCTTGAAACTTCATAAATAGTTTCATCTCATCCTAACCTACAACTATTTTATTTACGAAAATTCTTGGAAATGAGGCGTTTTCAATCTGGAGGAGGGCTAACTTTATCTATTTAATTAGGCACTAAGAACTCATAAATACCCATTTGCTTTCAACTGTAATGTTAAGATAACTTGAGTACAAAGTCTAGAAAAAAGGTGACTTTAAAAAATATTGAACCGTTTGGCGTGACATACACCCCCGAATAGTCAAAATAATGTGGTTATATAGGCCAAACTCAATATTTTTGAAGGCCACCTTTTTTCTCGACTTGTGCTCAAGTTATCTTACGGTTAAATTGAAAAGTAAATGGATATTTATGAGTTATTAGTATCTAATTAAATAGACAAAGTTTGCCAACATTCACATTGAAAACGCCCCAATTCCAAGAATTTTCGTAAATTAAACTTTTTTAGGTTACGATGTGATGCAGCTATTTATGAAGTTTCCGCCGAATGTAATAATTTGATAAAAAGGGGTCTTTTCCACGGACTAATATGGCAATGTAGCTGTTATGACCCGCCATGTCGATTTTACTTTAAACAGACACGAGACCAAATTTATTCCTTTATGTCTAAAGCACAATTAGGGATCCTGTATTCTCCGTGAGCTAGCTGCGGGGGCCCGCGTCAGTTTTTGAACAATTTCACAAGCACTAGAGCTAATTAATATATAATTATTTAGTTTATGAAAATTTAAAAACATTAAATTAAGTTGCATATTTGTGTATGGCCATGTATTAACTTAAAAATAATATTAGAAACAGCAAAATATCAAACATTATTGCGGGTTCTATAATCACTTTCTAACATTAATGCAGCTTCTAATGACAAAAAAGTTTCCATAAAAAATTTAAGCATAACACGCAAGTGCAAATTAGCGATTCTGAGCCGAACCTCTTTTTTTTTTCACTTTCTCCATGAATACAAATTATCAATAGTGAGGAAGCACGAATCTATTATTTTAATATATATTGTATTTATGATTAATTTCCGTTTATTATGCTTTAAAATATTAAACATAAGGGCATAAAACTGTTATATAACTTCTACTTTACAATTACGTGTTACATAATCAAGTATAGCTGAAAACTACTAACCTTTACACAGTGGTCGAATTTGTATTATATTTGCAATATTTAAAACTACATATTATAAATGAAAACGTACTTGTACATGTTAAATCAATCGATGATTATACCTAATTCTGTATTTAAATGTTTTGCATTAGGTCTCTTATTTTTTTTAGATACTTAAACGTTTAAATAATATTATATATTTTATTCTATACATTTTTGAAGGAAAGAAAATTGTATAAACCTCAAATCTCCTTATATAATTGAGTTTATGATCTAACTAAATACTGGTAAGAGAAAATTAAATTTCACTGCATATTATTAAAAAATAGAAATTCACGGGATCTTATTCGTCATAGTTTTTTTTTTTTTTTTATTCGATCTTGTTGTTATATAAAAATATTTTAGTATTATGTAGTCTTATTAGAAAAAATATTGTGAAAAAAATTGTAGGGAGTATTATATATATTATGCAGATATTATAGATTGCTTGGAGTTAGTATATATTTTTTATTAAATAAAAAAGATTAATTTATATATAGACATATATATTCTGTTTATTCCAATTTATGACAACTTTGCGAGCTTCTGGGTGTGTTTTTAAAGCTGCATTAAATTCAGGGTGCATCTCATTAGATTTATATAATGGAAATGAATGAAATTTTATCATTATATTTCTTTATTATATAATAATACTGTATATTATACTAGATTTATTAGAGGTTCGAGCCTTAATTTTATCTAATACCGCAAATATTTTTTATCTTCGGTATTTAAAAAAATAAAAATTATCGTTTATTCCAGTATTTGTGTATGAAAAAATAACAAAAAAAAAAAAAAAAGAAGATTTAGATATACAAATATTTATAGTGCTTAATTATTGCTATATTTACAGTAATTATATTGCTATTTTATAATTTGACTGTAGTTTAAGTGATCTGGTCGGTGGAATACATTATGTATCTGTGATTTTTCTTTACTAACACATTATTATTAAATTATTATCATATGGTAGGTTTATTGCAAAAAGTCATTTAATTACATATCATAAAATTAGGTCACTACGTACTTTAATAATTGTTTTCTCCGTGAAATCAGTAAATGGTACATTTAATGTGGCTAATTTTAATATATAAAAGAAATGTTTCATAAATTAACGGATGACATATCTTCATTCAAAAACAAAACACGATCATTACATGACTCTCATAATATAAGAATTGGATAAGTGAATATGTGTCATTTTCACGCACTTATTGTTTTTTTACATCCATAAATAAGATCAATAAACGTACTATAATGTTTAATTTCATAAAAAATGTATCTTACGATTTTTGTTTTTTTGCAAAGCGATGACATATAATATACTTCCTAAATAATCTGAATTATGATTATTATTGACTTTTTTTGGCGATTCGAACAAGAACAACTTTTATTATTTTATTCCGGCGAAAGTAGAACAATGTAATAAATGGTACATAGAATGTAAGAAATAGGTATACAATTTATACACAAACACACACATATATATATATATATATATATATATATATATACATTTAACAACGCTAAAAATATTTAATAATCTATTTGTCAATATAAATACGATAATATCTTATGCTGGAGTTCAGAGTGAGATATCAATCCCTTATTTTAGCCGTTGGTAAATATTGTATTTAAGTTAATTTCCCATGAAGTTCGAAATAACAATTTATTTCAGTGGAAGTGCTCAAAATATGGTGGCATAATCATGTGGCACATTTTCACAGTCCTTTTGTGCGTATTTATATACACATTTTATGTGTATTTAATATTTCAATTTTGGACGGAGACTATATTTTTGTAGGGCTTAAATTTTGGGGACCATTCAAACAAGAAGGAAAAAACATGCAACGTACCACAATGCGTGTAATTATGTATATATTACAGTTTTTAATTTTCTACGTTTATTTGCACCATTTTAAAGAAATTGACAAAAAAAAAGAAATTTGTAAATGGAAAACAAAATAAAATTTGTAAACGAAGAATTGTGCAATCACCTTTATGAGGGATGGATACCTTTGTAACTGTTGTGTATTTAATTTTTAAAATTAATTTAGTTGATTAAGTTTTAAGTTGTTTATTTAATAATATTTGAATACGGTCCAGCATTCTTTAACTCTTACAGCAAGAAAGTTATTTTTTAAAATTTTTATGTGAAACTCTTATTTTCCTCCATTTTAATGAAATAATATTAATACTTATTCATACTGTGCGTAAGAAACTAATAAATAAACGTTTATCTTAAAAAATATAAAATAAAAAAGACATAGATTTTTTAAAAGAAATATCACTGATATAATTAAAAGCATAGTATTAAAGCTTGTTTTGAATTAACTTAAGATATTTAATAACCGCACAGAAGATGCTAAAATTTATCTTTTAATTATATCTTTTAATTATATATTTTTTAAATATTTTATTAATTTAATTTATCATCTGTAAGTAATAGAATATTCATAAATTTATATTGGCTGAATTAAATAAGTAAAAATCAAGATGGACTTACCTCTCGCTTTTGTTGATGGGATTCCTCCTCTATGATCCGAAGTGCTCAGCCAGCACTGTAATACTGCATTGGCTTGAAGGAGGCATAGGTTATATAATGCCTCTCTTGGTGGTCAGTTTGGTGAACTGAGAAATTCTATATACTTGCATTGTGATACGTTGTTTTATTTATTCTCAATTACATTACGTAATGGGTCATCGCAGGGCGGTATTTGTTTATCAGATTATTAAAAAAGAAAGATATCATGACTGAAATTCTAAACATTTCTCGAAATACATGGTTTTTTTTTTGTTTTAATATGTTAAATAATTAACCATTGCTATAGACTAAGAAGAAATATTATTAATCTCCTCCGAAATTTGAGATTTTAGGCTTTACAAACGTATGGATTTCAATGAAACGTGGCTAAAGTCTTCTTCTCGATGCCCTTTAAATTTATCTATATAACATGCTTCAACGAAAAGAAGCTGGAAAAAAGTTACTAGGGATGGTAAAATTAGATTTCCGAATAACTCAAGAAGTATGCACTTTTTTGGTGATGTAGTATAGTATTAAATTAATTCTTAGTATAGTATTAATTAATTGGTATAGTATTAATTAATTAATTAATATTAAAATTAATTCCATCAGTGTTATAGGATATTTTTAGTATAATTAAAATGTAAGCTACTATTAACACTCGTTCAAGACCTATTTTGTTGGTGTAGAAGAGTCTTGATTTGTAATTTTCTTACTTCCTAAGAATATAGAAGCCATATGTAATCTGTTTATTTCTTTGAAATATCAAAACTATCTATATTATCCTCAGTGCTCAAAAAATCAGAGATATATTCTTCTCCATGTACCTTTTTAATATATTTTTAGTTCGTCAAAGATTATCATAAATAAAAATACTTTATTTTTTAAAACCTTAACATATTATAAGTATCCAATGACAACCGAATCACCTAAGAGGCTTTCGCCAAGAATTATCGTTATACATATTGTGATAAAGAACTCCACGATTTATCTCGAAAACTGTAGATTTTAGGGCTTTAAAACCTGGTACTGGGTCTTAAAGTACAGTTTATTGTATTTAATGTTTAAAATATAATTTATCCTTTAACAATGTTACAATGGACATTAAAAATAAATGGATTTAATAGAATTTGGCTAAAATTTGTGATAATACATTATTTTTTTATTGAAAAATATTACAATCTGTCTCTAGGACATTTATAATAGAGTTCGCAGATCACATTCACTCTCTATGTACAATAAATAAAATAAATTATACAGAAAAATAATATATATACACTAAATAAGAATAAAATAACCTAAAAATAAATAAATAAAAAGAACACACACACCTATATACAATATTTACAATTTGGCGAGAGAACTCCAAACCAGACTTGTCCCTCCAACTGTGGAGGGAAAAGTATGACTCCAGGAGTTCCCTGCACTCCTCTCTCAACCGCGTCACTAGGGCTAAACCCAGTGGAGATTGAGCAAGAGTGCTTTAGCCACATACACTCATGTCGTGAGTGGAAAATCTGGCCATTGCCGGAACTCCAATATTTACAAACTATAAAAGATCGCGGGGCCACTGCCGTTTTAACCACCTTGGAGGATTATATAGATGGGTGGTGCTGGATAGAGATTGTGCAAAGGGATTTGGATGATGGGTAAGGTTCTGGTGGAATTTGGAGAATTTTGCTGGGATAAGGTCAAGGACAAATGGGATATTAAGGTCATGGTGTAGGGTTTTGTTGGTTACATAGAAAGGAGCATTGACTATTGTTCGAAGGACTTTGGATTGGAAGGATTGAATGCGTTTGATGTTAGTAAATTTTGCTGTTCCCCACAGTTCAAGTCCGTAAGTCCAGATAGGTTTCAGTATTGTCTTGTAGATCAGTAACTTGTTTTGAATGGAAAGTTTTGATTTTCTGTTTAGTAGCCGGTATAGTTGTCCGTATCGTCGGTTTAGTTCCTGTCTTTTAAGTCTAATATGAGGTTTCAGGTTAGGCGTATGTCTAAGAGAAAGCCAAGGTCCGGACTGTGTCTGAGAAAGGAAGCTGAATGGAATTAAAGTATACTGGTGGAAAGGAACTGCGTCGGAGCGTGAAGGTGTGATGTGTTGGCATTTGGATTCGTTTACTTTAATACGCCATTTATTACACCAGTGCTCAATCAGGGAGAGGTGTCTTTGAAGGTTTAAGGATGCTATATCAGGATCTGAGTCGGATGATAGAATGGCGGTGTCATCAGCAAAAGTTGCCAGGAAGGTATCGGGATGGACAGGGATATTGGCGGTAAAGAGGATGTAAAGGACGGGACCCAATACGCTACCTTGAGGAACACCTGCCTCAATTGGATAGCTATTCGATAATTCACTACCGCAGCGAACTCGGAAGGTACGATCTGAGAGGTAGGAACGGAGGACAAGGTATAAAGACTGAGGAAGATGGGTTTTCAGCTTGGAAAGAAGCCCGGCGTGCCATACCCGGTCGAAAGCTTGAGCTATGTCCAGAAATGCACCCGAGCAATATTGCTTGCTTTCCAATGCTACGGAAATATGATCACATTATTTTAAAGAAATTTAGAAAATATTATGAACATTTGGAAAGGGTCTTAAATAAATCGATAGAATTCAGCGTGTTAATTTATTAATAGATCGAGTCATCCATGTCTCAGTTCGACTACAAAATCCATAGGATCCGCTGTATGAAACCTCATTATTCCATTTCTATTGTTCCAGAAAAATATAATACTTATTATATTTATTTAATTTCAGTTTAAGGTGCCATGTACGACAACAGAGGTTAGAAGCACCGTGTTACTGTTACATAATTACATAATTTAAATCAGTTTATGTAGTTTGCCATCCTTCAAAAATTGCATTAAGTTCTTCTGGTTTTCCTGTTCGAAGGCTTGACGGTAGCTCCGGAGTCTTAGTGAAATTCTTGAAGGACATAAGCTCTGACAATTTTCCATGATGTGCTCGATGGTCAATGGTGTGTTGCAGCTGCTGCATCTAAGGATAAGGCTTCCCTTCAAAGAGGTCTCCATGCGTCAACCTAGTATGTCCTATTCTGAGTCTACAAATTATGGTTTGCTCCCGACGGTTCCCTTTTATTTGAGACAGTGGTTCTATGTCTTCATAAATATTCTTCAGTTTGTTGGTGTTTGGAACCTTGGACCAAAAGTAGTGCCATGCTTCTTTGCGATGATTTAGCACGGCTGCTTTGAAGTCGTACAGCACTGTGCTAAGTTTAGGTTCTTGAAATATGGTACAGGCTTCCTTGGCACCTGTGTCAGCCAGTTCATTTCCAGATATGCCAACATAGCTAGGGACCCACAGAAATTTTATTAATTTGGTTGTTATCTGAATTAGTTGTGTTATGGAGAATGCAATAAGGTTATTGGAGATTTGAAAATTTTGTATTTCTTTGAGGGCCGAATGTGAGTCACTGCAAATTAGAATATGAGTGTTTGTTAATTCATTAATAAGACTTACGGATAGATAAATGGCATACAACTTGGATAAGCAGATGGAATAAATGGAAGGAAGACTGAACCGGATGGTTTCGTTGGTAAGCACAACCGAACACCCCACACGATCTAGATATTTTGATTCATTTATGTAAATACAGGTAAATTCTCTGCTTTTATTAAGAATAGTTGAAAAAATTTGTTTTATAACTTTGGGGGGATTAATGGATTTTGCAACAGAATTAAAGGAGAAATCAAAAGTAGGTGTGTTATTCGTCCAAGGAGGTAATGGGTGAGGTGAAGATGTGTAAAACTTGGGTAGTGAATATGATTCGGAAAGTGGTGGGAAGCTGGTGAGCCGATTGGGTAGTTGGTAGTGTGAAAAGTCAAAACAAATTAGGAGTGGTTTTTAGGCGGCCTAGAAACTTAAGTAAAAGATAGTTCCTACGCAGTTCCAATGGCCACTCTTTAGCTTCCCAGAGTAATATTGGGTTTGATCGGTTCAGTATTTGTATGATGGACTCTCTGTATTGTGGAGCTCCGTGACAGACTGAAAAGATTAATGAACAGTTGCGTGAGATTTGTAATTGGTGCTCCGAGATACTACCATGTCTCTCACCACTACACTGAGTTAGAGTGGCTCTTCCCCTCCATTCGAAGACAATATTTCCTAGGTACATTCCTCTATCATATCATCGTCCTTCCTACGCCTGCAACCTTCTCCAATTCAAGTCCTCAGTCCACTCCCTCTCTACAAGATCTCGACCTTCCGACCTTTACATTCCTTCTCACAGATCTGCCTCGTTCCAAAACTCCTTTATTGCTCGTTCTGTTAGTTTCTGGAATTCCCTTCCTATCAAAATTCGACATTCTTAATCCTTATCTACATTCAAAACCCTCCTATTCCAATTCCTGCCCCAAAAACAGTCAGATACCAGCTAACCTTTTATGTAAAATAACATATTCACATATAGCTCATAACCTAAATACTTATTATAGATTCGACTTTCTTCCTTTATTTTTTTTTTCAACAGAAACACATATTTTACTATTAAGAAGAATTTACATTTATTTTTTCTGTATTTTTTATTTTTTCTAAAAGGGTTTATTTATATTTTACATTGTACATAGTTTTAAGTATCTTAGTATGGTTTCAAGAGTTTTTTATTTTATTTTGTATATAGTATGTATAACTAATATGTTTTTTCTTTTTTTTTACTGATTTATCTTTATCTTAACTTTTTATGTTTGTTTTTATCTGGCCAATTATAAAATTTTAATTTCTGTATTTTTTTGTTATTCTGGAGGGACTTCGTCCCAGAATAAAATTATTTTTCTATTCTATTCTATTCTATACGGTTTGAGTCATCTCCGTAAACTTCATCACCATAATCAAACACCGGTCTTATAGAACACCTATAGAGCCTCTGCAAAGATACTCTATCGCTGCCATAAGTAGTACTGGAGAGTACCTTGATTATATTAGATCTTTTTTGACAACTTGGACAATAAATTATCGACATGTACTTTCTAAGATGGTCTTAAATCAAAGGTGACTCCAAGATAGCAAATACATACTACTTCTATAAATAGCAGTGTTTGTTTAATTGACGATTTCGTAGGCTT